TCAATAAATTACTGTTTACTGTGAAATTTTTTTGGAAACTTTTTAGTTTTGTAGTTTTTTTCACCTTTTAAACATGAAAAAAAAAATTTGAAGGTCAAATCAAGGTCATTCAAGGTCAAATCAAGGACATTCAAGGTCAAGCAAGGTCATTCAAGGTTATTTGAAGGTCAAATCAAGGACAATCAAGGTCATTTTAAGGTCAAGTTAAGGTAAATCAAGGTTATTTAAAGGTCAAGGTCATTAATAAGTCAACTCAAGGACATTCAAGGTCATTTTAAGGTCATTTTAAGATCAAGTCAAGGTAAATCAAGGTTATTTGAAGGTCAAGGTCATTAATAAGTAAACTCAAGGACATTCAAGGTTATTTGAAGGTCAAATCAAGGACAATCAAGGTCATTTTAAGGTCAAGTTAAGGTAAATCAAGGTTATTTAAAGGTCAAGGTCATTAATAAGTCAACTCAAGGACATTCAAGGTCATTTTAAGGTCATTTTAAGATCAATTCAAGGTAAATCAAGGTTATTTGAAGGTCAAGGTCATTAATAAGTAAACTCAAGGACAATCAAGGTTATTTGAAGGTCAAATCAAGGACAATCAAGGTCATTTTAAGGTCAAGTTAAGGTAAATCAAGGTTATTCGAAGGTCAAGGTCATTAATAAGTCAACTCAAGGACATTCAAGGTCATTTTAAGGTCATTTTAAAATCAAGTCAAGGTAAATCAAGGTTATTTGAAGGTCAAGGTCATTAATAAGTAAACTCAAGGACAATCAAGGTTATTTAAAGGTCAAATCAAGGACAATCAAGGTCATTTTAAGGTCAAGTTAAGGTAAATCAAGGTTATTCGAAGGTCAAGGTCATTAATAAGTCAACTCAAGGACATTCAAGGTCATTTTAAGGTCATTTTAAAATCAAGTCAAGGTAAATCAAGGTTATTTGAAGGTCAAGGTCATTAATAAGTAAACTCAAGGACATTCAAGGTCATTTTAAGGTCAAGTCAAGGACATTCAAGGTTATTTAAATGTCAAGTCAAGGACAATCAAGGTGATTAGAAAGTCAAATCAAGCTTATTCAAGGTCATTATAAGGTCAGGTGAATGTCATTCTAGGTTATTTGAAGGTCAAGGTCATTTATATGTTAACTCAAGGACATTCAAGGTCATTTTAAGGGCACATCAAGGACACTTGTTTTTTCAAGCGGATAAATGTTCACTGGAAGCATATTTTTTTTATTTCTAGTCCTGAAATACAAAAAAAATGAAGAGTGGATAGAGAAAAAGAAAATCAAATCTGATTAGGCCAGGACATGTTGAAGGTTAAAATTTTTTTTAGTTTTGTTATTTTTTGCTCGAAAATTGATTACTATTATTTATGTATGTTGTATATATATATATATACAAAAGAGAAATTTATATATCATTAACAAAATGGTATTAGGTGTTATTAACTTCTAATTAAAAAAAGCCTTTTAATGACCATCTCTCTAGGGGAAGATAAAGTTGAGGTTCATGGCGCAATTCCAATGAACTAGGGGTACCAAGGGTGATAAGAGTGTAGTATGATAGTTTCTGATGCTCGTTTAATAATAATGATATATAGCCGAGGCCTCGGTTAAGAGAGAAGCGAAGCTTGTGTATAGTCCTAACAGTTTCTCAAGGGAAATCTTCAAGAAAATTAGTGGCCAAGTGGGACGTAGTTTGGAAAGAAATGAAAGCAACCATATATATATATATATATGTGTGTGTATGTGCCGAGAGATAAGAAAAGAATTATCTAATTATTAATAATACGTAAGAAAAGTACACGTATAAGACTTCGATAGATGAAATTTTTTTTTCAAAGAAGATTATTTTATAAAAATCCATAAAAGAATTAGGTTACATGTTACTCACGATAAAAAGCCTTTAAAAGTATATAAAATATTCAGTATTAAGAAGAAAAAAAAATTATTTTTTTTTTCACAATATTAAATGTAAATTTTTAAATATATTACATAATATTCTTTTTTTATAATCCTTTTTTTAATATTATTAAATTAAATTTATATTTATGTTAATTTTATAAAAATGTTTTTTTTTTATATTAAACTTGATTATTATTATTTTTTTTTTAAATTTTCATATCATATTATGAATTATATGAATGTTTTATCATAATAGTGGAGAAAATTTATCATTATTAATTATTAAAATTTAATTATATAATTAGACTTAATATGTACATTATATATCTATTATTCATTTAGTTTATTACGTGTATTTAATTACTTTAATTCAATCTAACAATATATATATATATGTATATGATTTAATTCTTGCGGACAATGAATTATATGCCGAGTATGATGTATTCGTAATATTAATTATTTAGAGGATTATTTTTAAATTATTAAATGGATAATAATGTAATAAGCTTATTCAAAATTTTTTCGATTTATTACATATCAAATTAAGACAATCTTGTTTTTAAATTTCTTTCATACTAAATATTGGAGATATTTTATTATTTATACGTTACATTCATATCTGATTTTGTCAATATTTATAAAAATTTTTTATTTCAGTAGTGAAAGTCAATATAAGTTAGAAATGTTTTCTATTTCTAGTAGTATGAGTCAATTTTGGTCAGGCTGTACTTTTTTACTTTTTTCTTTCTGAAATCAGTGGTATAGGGCGGTTTAAGTCAAACGAAACAGTTAAAAATTTGTCTAATGTTTAAAATAAGTAGTAAAAGTGTATTTTAGTCAGAAGTTTGAAAAATTTGTATCTATTACAAGTAGTATGAGGCAATTTTAGTCAGACTGAGTTTTATTTAAAATTGTGTAATTTTAGTATTAGTAGTTAATGTCGTTTTTAGTCAGACAAAATTTTCAGTTTTAGTAGATAAAGACTGATTTAGTCAGACAGAAGAGTAAAATTTTTCAGTAGTATAAGTCTGTTTCAGTCAGACGATATTTATTCTAAATTATTTTCTGTTTCAGTAGTATAAGACAAGTTTACTCAGACAAAACATTGTTGAATTCGTGCATATTTTGGTTTAGTAGTAAAAGACAGTTTTATTCAGACCAAGCATGGTTCAATTAATACATTTATTAGTATAAGTAGTTAAATACGGATATGGTCAGACAAAAGAGTTGACATTCGTTCAAGTAGCATAAGTTTATTGCAGTTAGACAAGATTTAATTTTTTTACCCTATAAGTAGTATAAGTTAATTTTAGTCAGACCAAAAAATGTTAAATTACAATTTTTTGGTATCAGTAGCAAAAAACAGTTTCAGTCAGACAAAACTATTGAATTCATCTACTTTTTGTATCAGTAGTAAAATACGGTTTTAGTCAGACAAAACTTTATTGAATTGATCTACTTTTTGTGTCAGTAGTAAAATACGGTTTTAGTCAGACAACACTACGATAAATTTTTTTAATTTCTCCTCTAGTAGTAAAAGTCAGTTTCTGTCAGACACAATTTGTTGAATTTGTCTATTTTTAGTGTCAGTAGTAAAGTACCGTTTTAGTCAGACAAAAATACTCCTACTTCATTTTATTTCTGCTTCAGTAGTTAAAGACATTTTTAGTCAGACCAAACATAAGTTTTGTTTATTTTTAAGCGTCAGTAGTACACGACAGTTACAGTCAGACAAAACTTTGTTGAGTTCTTCTAATTCGGATTCAGTAGTAAAAGTTTGCTTTTAGTCAGACAAAAATAATGAAAAATTTCTATATTTTAACAAATAGTATAAATCATTTTTAGTCAAAGATTTTGTTATTGTTTAGTTTTTCGTTGTTGACATTACTAAAAGATAAATCACGTAAGTAAAAAAAAAGTTATCTTAATTCTGAAAAATATCATTATTATAGAAAAAAGGTTACATTTTTGATGACGATGGTTAAATAAAGGAGAAATTGAAAAAAAATATAATTCTTTACATAAGGATTTCATTATATAGTAGAGGTTCTCAAACAATGGAGTGTTTACCAGCGGCTTTGATCCGTCGGACGGTTTACTCTACAAATAAAGTCATTGCGATCAAAAAAAAAAAAATTAACTTTTCAATTTATTTAATTTTCTTATTCAATATAATGTATCTGATTTGGTTATTTTTTATTCTTTTTCGCAAATTTTTCAAAGTCAGATTTTTAAATTTGAATTTTTTTTTTTAAAATTTAATTATATTTGAAAAAAATTATTGGAATTGATAATATAATTTATTGAAATTTAAAAAAAATGAAGTTTCAATAACAATTTTTTTTTGTTTATTTTGCAGGAATATATTTACAATGTTAAAAAGTGGATTTACATTTTTTTTTTTTGGAATATAGTTGCTGTAAAAGATGAAAATTAGAATTTTTTTTTTTTGACCCATGAAAATGTAAAATATATTGGATTATATATCATGTCCCTACTATTTTCAACCACAGGGCTTTCAAGGCAAGCTTTTAATATCGCTTAAATCCAGTGGTACAGTGTATAGCTGAAGGCGTTGTTTGACATGGTCGGCAAAGCAGAAAACCGCAAAAGATCCACGAGCCTCAGGGCAATGCTTCTCTATTTTATTAAGAGCCCTGCAGACAGAAAGAGAGAGAGAGAGAGAGAGAGAGAGAGACATTTTTCTTGCCTGAATTCTCAGGGGTTCACCAATCGAGTATCATCTACTTCTATAAACGAAAAACGAAAAAGAGAAAAAAAAGAGAGAGAGAGAGAGAGAGAGAGTACTCTCGTGACAGTGGTCGCGGTCGTGGTCGCGGTCGCGAAACGGGCAACCCTTTTTTTTAACTATATAGTCTCGTTCAGAGAGTAGAAACTTGACTGCGCGTTAGGAAAAAAAAAGTAGTGGGGAGAAATGGAACTATGGTGACATAGGAAAAGAAAAGTGGGGAGAGCTATATTTGAGAGTGGGGAGGAAGAGAGAGATTCCGAGAAGGAATACAGGAGAGAGCTTTTACGCATGCGCTTCACCGATCGATGTCCGTTTTCACTGGTGTTGTATGTATAAAGCTCTCTCCACTCATCGTTCCAACGTTAGTTTAGCGAATGCATCTGGAAGATGCACCGTGTTGCGATAGGCACATTTTTTGCGCCTATCGTCTATTATTCGTCGTTGACCGGCGTCAACATTTCTTCAGATTCTCGTTTCTCGCGCCATAGGCGCCGCTTCCAACACTTATTTGCACTTTTTCTTTTTTCCTCACAAATCGCCTTACACATGATTAAAGCACCCGATAGGAACTAATTTTTACAATAAAAAAAATTATCCATGGAAATTTATTTTTCTTTTATCCGTGTTTAGTGAGTGCAACTGGATTTGATAATATACAATCAATTTTTCTTGTAGTTTATAGTGTGAACAATTTGTTTGTTTTTTTTTTTGAAATAAACATTTTTTCATGATTCGATATAAACGCAATAGAAAGAGAAGATAGAGGAAGATTTGCAAAAAAATTTCAAATATCTTTTTTAAATAACAAATTGAAAAATAATTTTTTGAAAAAATATTTTTTCAAATAAAAACACCATATCTTTAAAATTTTCAAAAAAAATTAAAAATTTTTTTTTTTTGTAATTATTTTGATTCTCATAAATTATCTATGATATTCGCAAAAAAATTTATCATGATTTTAAGAATCTAAAAGGAAAATAATCTTGATGGGAAAAGGCCATAAAAAGTGATTAAGAGACTATTAGGATATGGTCACAATACATATAGGGAGTTATATATGATAAATATCAAACGAGGGGTTCTCTAAATCCAAATCAACAAAAAAAAAAAAATTTGTGATTTACGAACATAGAGAAAATAAAAACGTGATTAAAATTTTGGAAATTTTTTTTTGTGTAGATAATATAAAAATAATATTATAAAAAATTAAATTCATATTCATCGGTAATTTATTATTAATCAAAGGGGATAAAATTGGGAAATTAAAACTGGAAGGCCAATATCAAAAACATTTTAAAATAAATGATGAAAAAATTTTCTTATTCCCAGTGGAGAAATTAAGTGATTTTTGTATTTTTTTGAAAGTGGTGATTAGCAAAATCGCAAAACCGTGTTGGTGTCGTAACCGAACGAGAAAGCCCGTAAGATCCGCGAAGGTTGTGCAACAAGTTAGGAGAGGGTTGCCTCCACCATCGCGATGTGATATGGATATCCTAGCAGTAGCCTGCGCTCTTGTAGCGACGGCCCTGTACTTCAACACCCTCTACGCAGGATTCGTTTACGACGATCGGTGAGTATCTCTTTCTCACACACACACACACACACTCATTTATGAAATAGACGATGATGACTCTCACTCACTTGAATATAAAAAAAAAAAAGAAAAAAAAAACCACCTCTCAAAATACTACTCACTCATTCTCAAGTACTACTAAACATTGAAATATATAAGCTTTTTCCAGAGATAGATAGAGAGAGAGAAAAGAGAGAGAGAGATAAAGTAAAGCTTGATATTTTATTACCGCTGGCATTTGCAGTTCATAAATTTTACCGAAAAGAGAGAGAAAGAGAGCGAGAGAGGTGAAAATTACATTCGACTTTACCATTGTCAAAAATATAAAAAAAGATTTTTAATCGTATAAAACAAGATTAAAATTAACAAACAGCAAATTAGTAGTAAAAGTCTATTTTAGTCAGACTTAACAAATATTGAAATTAAAAGTTTTTAACTAAATTCAACATTGTGTATCAAAATTACATTGCACTTTTGAAAGTCTTTTTCTTTCTCTATCAGTAGTATAAGCCAATTTTAGTCAGACCGAACTTTATTCAAATTGTGTAATATTTAGTATTAGTAGTTAATGTAGTTTTTAGTCAGACAAATTTTTTTAGTTTCAGTAGATAAAGACTGATTTAGTCAAACAGAAGAGTAAATTTTCTTTTCAGTAGTATAAGTCTGTTGCAGTCAGACAGTATTTTTTCATTCTTTTAAGTTTCAGTAGTAGAAGACAATTTTACTAAGACCAAACATTGTTAAATTCGTGCATATATAGGTTCAGTAGTAGAAAACAGTTTTAGTCCAAGAATTGTTCAATTCATTTATTTTTTAGTCTAAGTAGTTTAAAACGTATTTGGCCAGCCAAAAGAGATAAAATTATTTTAAGTAGTAGAAGCATGTTCCAGTCAGACAATATTATTATTTCTTTCTCTATCAGTAGTATAAGCCAATTTTTGTCAGACCGAACTTTATTCAAATTGTGAAATATTTAGTATTAGTAGTTAATGTCGTTTTTAGTCAGACAAAATTTTTAGTTTCATTATATATACTGAAACAGACAGAAGAGTAAAAATTCTTTTCAGTAGTATAAGCCTGTTGCAGTCAGACAGTATTTTTTCATTCTTTTCAGTTTCAGTAGTAGAAGACAATTTTACTAAGACCAAACATTGTTAAATTCGTGCATATATAGTTTCAGTAGTAGAAGAAAGTTTTAGTCAGACCAAGAATAGTTCAATTCATTCATTTTTTAGTCTAAGTAATTTAAAACGGATTTGATAAGACAAAAGAGATAAAATTGTTTTAAGTAGTAGAAGCATGTTCCAGTCAGACAATATTATTTTTCCTTTCTGTATCAGTGGAAGAATGCAATTTTATTAAGACGAAATTGAATTCGTGTTATTTTAGTGTCAGTAGTTAAATACGATTATAGTCAGACAAAATAGCTTAACATTTAAGTAGTAGAAAAAGTATTTTAAGGAAAATTATTTTTTAAATTGCTTATCTTGTATTAGTATTAGTATATATATATATATATATATATATATATATATATATATATATATATATATATATAATCAAGACTGGCTTCTGCTATTGATTGATGTGTTTGTGACAATGCTACTAGGATCATTAGCGATATCTCAATTTCCATAATTATCTTGTATTCGCTCTAATGATGCAATAATCGTAATATTATAGTCATTACAAAAGCCAATACAAGAATCATTGTAATCGTGTAATTGCACTTTAAACTTTATATATAATTTACAAATTATATTATAATAAAACTAGTCATTTTAATGATAGCTAAACTATTTTAATGATACCACAACAAATGTAATATGTTACTAAAACATCATTTTAATGATACCAGAGCAAATGTAATGATACAAGAATATCATTTTAATGATTCCATAAGAATGGTAATGATAATTTTCCCTTGAATATCATTGTAATGATTCGATAATCATTGTAATGATTCCATAATCATTGTAATGATACAAATCATTGGAAATAATACCAGAATCATAACACCAAAATCATTGAAAATGATACCGCACAATATTGTAATGAATTCTAAATAATATTCCACAATGACAGTATATAATCGTAATGATACATATATCACATATATATTGTAGACTGTAATAATACACCGCAACACTAGGAATGACAAAAAAAAATTTATTATAATGATACCACAATTATTAGTATCTAGCGCATGATAATGACACCACAGAAATTGTAATATCACTACAACTATCCTTTGTGCGTGATACCACATTTATGATGCCTACTAAAACTGTTGCAAATGATACCATGCATATTTTAATATGATACCAAAATATTATTATAATCTAATTTTAATAACATCATTTTACATTTTTAATTGCATACAATTAATTTCACTGAATTTTTGATATAACAATTATTATAGAGGGGGAAAAAAAAGAGTAAATGATGGTAAATTTATAATTAGTAATAACATCGATTTGAGTTAGATGAAAAAATTTTTATTTCTATATTTTGATAAGTAGAAGTCATTTTTAGTCAGACAATACTTTGTGAATACTCCCTTTTTGCATTAGTAGTATAAGTCATTTTTACTCAGACAATACTTTGTTAATTTTTTTTGCATTAGTAGAATAAATCATTTTTAGTCAGACAATACTTTGTGAATTATCCCTTTTTGCATTAGTAGTATAAGTAATTTTAAGTCAGACAATACATTTTTCCTTCTGCATTAGTAGTATAAGTCATTTTTAGTCTGACACAACACTTTTATAATTGTTTTCCTATATATTTAAGTAGTAAAAATCGTTATTAGTCAGACAATACTTTGTGAATTCTCCCTTTTTGCATTAGTAGTATAAGTCATTTTTACTCAGACAATACTTTGTTAATTTTTTTTTGCATTAGTAGTATAAATCATTTTTAGTCTGACAACAATTTGTGAATTCTTCTTTTTTGCATTAGTAGTATAAGTAATTTTAAGTCAGACAATACATTTTTCTATCTGCATTAGTAGTATAAGTAATTTTAAATCAGACAATACATTTTTCCTTCTGCATTAGTAGTATAAGTCACTTTTAGTCTGACACAACACTTTTATAATTCTTTTTCCCTTCTATTTAAATAGTAAAAATCGTTATTAGTCAGACAAAACTTAATTATCGTCTAATTTTAGTTTCAATAGTGAAAAAAAATAAAATTACAAAACAGTTTTTTTTTGGCAATTTTTTTTTAAATAAGTAGTAAAAGAATGTTTCAGTCAGACGTTTGAAAGTAAAATCAATCTCTCTGTATGTATATTATCGTATATTTACGGTAATTCCTCGGTTTTCCAATGAAGATTTCCATTAATTTTGATGATCCAAAGTTCTCGAAATCGTAGATTTAATTAGCTTCTAAGATTGTGGTTTGAAGCTTGTATATATATCGTGAGAGATGCTTTATCACTATAGTATATAACTAACTTAATCTGGAATGAGATACTAGTGAAACCATTATATCAAATTGATACTTGAATAGATCAGAAATCCACTTGTTAGTGAATGTTATTGATCCGACACATTCTGTAAGCGGCTAATCAGAAATTGAACGTGTGTCTGTGTCCATTCATTACAGAGTATATATATATATATATACAATATATAAATCGTTTAGACAATTATTTGGTAATATTGATAATTTTTAGTTAAATATAAATTTAAAAAAATTATATCTAAATTACAATGTAAGTAGAAAAAGTCACTTTTATTCAGACAAAACAGTGAAAATTTTGTTTAAGTAGTAATAGTATATAAATCGTTTAGACAATTATTTGGTAATATTGATAATTTTTAGTTAAATATAAATTAAAGAAATTTATATCTAAATTACAATGTAAGTAGAAAAAGTCACTTTTATTCAGACAAAACAGTGAAAATTTTGTTTAAGTAGTAGAAGTGTGTTGCAGTAAGACAAGACTCATTTTTCTTTCCTTATCAGTAGAATAGGAAAATTTTAGTCAGACAATACTTTTTATATTCTTTTTCCAATTAGTAGTGTAGTCCAATTTTAGTCAGACAAACTATTTTTATTGCCAGTAGAAAAATATATTTTTAGTCAGACCAAACATTGTTGAATTTGTGCATTCATAGATTCAGTAGTGAAAGACAGTTTTAGTCAGACAAAATTTTATTAAATTCAGCTCGTTTTTGTTGTCAGTAGTAAAATACGGTTTTAGTCAGACAAAAAAATTTTTTTTTTCCTTTTTATTACAATATAAGTAGTAAAACAAAGTTCCAGACATCCAAAACAAAAAAAAAATAGTATAAATTTCATAAAAAATTAATCGTTTTATAATAATTTTCAATTAATTTTCAACTTGACAAACTTTTTTCAAATAAATTTGGTTTTGCAGTAGCGTAAAAAATAAATTACCTTTTTCTCCGTGTTATATTTTTTGAAAAAAAAACATTTTTCGTATTTCCTTCCTATATATATATATATATATATATATATATATGCAATGCAGTATTGAATTGGTGGCATGTAATCGAGATAACCTTATATACCTGGGGATCCTTTCCTTGCAGGATGTGTTCGTGATAAGCACTCTTGATCCAGGGGCTCTTGAATTCTATGATCCTGAATCCTATAATTGAGAATTCCGTAATCTCTCGTGCCTATGTCGTTCAAATTTCAGTCCCGTTTCATGCAACACGTGACCCTGAGTGTGAAGCGAGTATAACTAAAGTAAAATCGATTCAATGTACTCGATATTATTAAACCTAGGGTAAAAGCTCGTTAAGTACAACTTCTAAGCATCCAATAGCTGACTCACTTTAACAGCAGGAAATTAAAGTGTGCAATATGGTGGAAATAATCATTAGCAAAATTTAGCGGTTAACATTCAATTAAAAATTATCGTTTATATTTCCGTTATTTCAAGAATGAATTAGACAAAAAAATTTAATATTTATAGAAAAAAAAATAAATTAAAAACATAAAAAAATATTTCTATTAAT